TGAAAACTATGGGGGGGTTCCATCAACACAGTGGAATGGTGATGCGAGGACCCTTCATGGGGGGGGGGGTCTAACCCCCAAACCCCCTCGTGGCTACGCTGAAAGTACCTATCCAGATTTTACATTGATTGACGTCAATCCATCCAGTTTACTCATTTCACAAAATTTCCTCACAATGCCAATGTGGATAAACAAAACAATTATTCGACATTTTATGAATACTTTATTTTTAGTTTATTCGGAATTACATGAAAATATCATAATACTATTATTCTAGTTGAAAAAATTTAATAAAGCATTTAATAACGTCGTCTAACCTTGAAATTTACTCATGATTACATTTTAGTATACATAAAGTTTGTGATGTAATATCTTTATATGGTTTTTGTTGGTTAGCGCCAATAACAAATGTTAATGGATTTCAAGTGCCAGACAAATTTGTAATAAAGAATTAAAATTATGCACTCCGGTGTACATAAATATGTTTAAATAGTACAAACTGTAAATATTTTTACTTTTGAATGCAAAATCTAATTTGAGATATTTTTTTGATTATTTTATTGTCCCTTGATCATCAATTCGCAGTGCTCCTTCAGGACTTCTCTTCTGACCACGCAGCCGATCTTTGTGCTTGATTCCGACAGGCTGTCACCTATTCTTTTAGTTTTTACTTGTACTTCTCCATAGGCGTACCGAGAAAAAGATCATAACTCCCGTATTTTAAATATATTTACATATTTAAAATTCCAGCAAAAAAGCTGTACACTTTTTTAACATTTTAAGTTTTCATTTCATCTTCAAATATATATCGTATATATGATCAAAATTTATTTATTATTTTATTTAACTTCTTAAAAAAATCCTTCTAGAGGATGGTAGGTGTGTATACACGTGTTGATAAGGAATTAAAAGAAACTTATTTAAAATGTGTAATAATAAAAAAAAATATATCAATATATTTCCTCGATTTTTACATTTTGTCGAATGCGTTCGGCGTCAAAAGGAAAATTTACATTAAAAACAAAGACCTGCTGGGTAGGATGGAGCGAATTTTTCATTTCTGGAAATTGATCTACCCTGTATGCTTAATAGGTGCCTATTGTACTCGTTAGTGAGCCAAAAAAAAAAAACTGAACATCAGAAAGCAATATCTTCGGCTGCCGAAATCTCCTTAAAATTTCGATAATTAACATATATTTTTTTTAATTTAACCAATTTTAATTTCTTTTAATTTAACCACCCTGTATGCCTAAGAAATGTCTATTGCCTGTAGCTCTCTTAAATAAGCAAAAAAAAAACTCACGGAAAAACTACTGAGCCCAAAGGATTTGCGGAAGCCATTGGTAAGACCCTTGAATCGTGTGAACAGTTACCAGTCGTACAGTTTGATAGAATTGAGACAATTTCACCTTTAGTTGATCTAAAAACCGTAAGTATCAATTCTAAGTATTAGTACGAAATGTGTTAAGGAATCTCTACTGGAGTTTTTAATGGCGATTTGGCTCTAAAAGCGCCAGGGAAAATGTCACACTCTAGATGGCTTACCACAACCAATAGAGTCCTAAGGTTATACGTTGCTACCAATGAGCCCTCTCAAAACCTTAAAATGTTGACAGCTTATAGTAAAATTGTATGCCGTGTGCTGGTTCGAAATTAAATACCATTGGTGTTGTAAGGATGGTGCCAGGCACTTGTTTAGCATTATTAATAAATCTCGTTACCTCCCTGAAGAAATAAATAAAGTTATTGATCCCGTAATTGAGAGAAACGGATTTTTTGATCATCCAGAAAATCTTTTAATAGCCATGTTAGGGGATGGTAGAAAACATTCGAGAGATAGCTTTGAGAAAGATTTCAAAATGCAGATCAACCACAAAAACAGAGGATGTCAGAATATTTCGAGTAAATAAGTTAAATTTTAATGATCAAGATTATGTTGTTATAACCGAGCCCCCGTTACCAATGAAAATTTCGAAAGAAGAATTAACTAACATGGTTTGGTTCTTGATGAAATAACATTGTTAAAATTCGCAGGGAGTTGAGCGATCTGTTAAGTTAGTCACCGAAGCCTCTATGGCGGTTTATGGCCCTGAAGCACGAGACGGGTTAATTAGGGCTCCTATTGAATTTAGACAAATATTGCCGCAATTTGATACAAAAAAAACAATTTTTAGCAGTTCTAGAATAGAAAAAAAGATTTTTTTTATTTTAAGGGTGGAAGGGCCCAGAACTCAAGATGCATCCATGTCCACGTGGTAAGTTCTGGGTAGTTTTTCAAGAAAAACTAGCTAAGAGCTGCATGTTTGCTTTTTTGCGGTTTCAAAGATTTTTTAATTTTTTAAATTTTCAAGGTCATTTCGGCAGACGATGGAATCGTCATAAGTCATTCGGATTTTTTTGAGTTATTAAGAATCCCGAAAGGCATCTTTTGTACACCCAGGCATATTCATTTTCGAAAATTACTTGTTTCGGTCATGTTTTCGCTCCACCCTACTGCGGGGCAACGGTAGTTTAGTAGGTATAAAAATTACAACTTAAGGGTGGAGTCTACGACAAAATTACTTCCGAGATAAACAAAATCAGCATTCATTCATAATTTTAACAATTGCATGCATTCGAGAGATACATATTCTAAACACTAACGCGCGAAGTTGAGACAAAGGAACTGAAAAATATTCCACAATACACAAAATAATGTGTATATTTTACAATAGCTTCGTTCGCGGTAACAATCCTGAACTGATTCAGAATTACTAATTCATAGTTTTAGCGCATGCCCGATTAATTATCAATTCTGAATTTTTACTGCGCGCGCAATCCCTATTATATCTCGGTATTTCAGGTATAGACAAGCGGTTCAAAACCAATAATAATTTTACCACGAACGCAGGATAGAACCAATAGTTCAGTTCTTTTTTGTTCCACGAACGCTTTTTAACTACTGCGCCTGCGAAGTCCTTACTAATAGTAATAATTTGGTTCAGGATTCTTACTGCGAACAAAGCTATTAATTGATTGTCTGAGAGTAGAAAAGCGTCCATAGTTTAGAAATACATTCGCTCCTGTACCACAGATATCCTCTATTCAAAAAGCCAAAGTATTAAATACAGGAGGCCAATGTAAACGGACAATAAACGGTCTCTTGACATTTTACATTTTTAAATAAACTAGGTTTTTAAAAAATATTTTTTATACCTGTTGTTTTTTATATTCAAGCGGATTTATAATATTCAAACTTGAGGCAAAATTCAAAATTCGCCAAAATTAGTGGCTAAAACGCCTCGTTAATTTAAACTGGGGTAAATCGTTACAAGAAACGAATGATGACTTTTTCTTCAAATATTGCAGAATGCTAGCGCAGATTCCCGAACAAATATTTTTGTCGCTATTTTATTTCAATTAACTGTTCAATATTTGAGGTCGGTCTTGAATATCGGATATAAATTCATCTATATCAATACAACTGTCGGACATTTTTCACTGGAACTGTCGAAAAGTTAACAGGAAACTCCAACTCTCAACTGGCGTTTCGCACGCGACTTGACGTTTGTATGAGTGATGCTCTATATGTATCCATAATAAAGCTGGCCGCGTGCGGCAGAAAAATCGCGGGTTTGTCATTTCCAATTTTCAGCCGCGTGCGACCACGCGACAGAACCGTGATAATGGGCTTTGAGTCATTTCAAAATATCTAAAGTTATGCCGCGCGCGACGTGTCGCGTGAGTGGGCTTTCCCTCTTAAAAAAAAATCCCGTGCAATATAAAAGTTAAAACTTTTAATTTCGAATATATATATATATTTTTTAAATAAATTATAAAATTAATTTAAAATAATTGAGCGAAATTACTGCATGTAAAAAATAACAAAGTGTACAGACATAAAGCAAAATAAATTTAAATCACTTGCGTACTGTTTATCACTTGTAAATAGTAGAAATGGAAATACGTTTTGTTGGTGTCACCCTCTAGACCAAAAAAGCTCTTACCTATTTTTTTTTTTTATTGTAAGAAAAATAAATGCTCCTGTAGGTAAAAATTGAATAAATTGTTCCCTTCTAACATTTTTATTTGTATTTATTTTCGTTAGAAAGGCATCTTTTAGATTTTTTTCAAAAGAAACCGATTCAAATTTTCAAAAAGTGACAAAAAGAGCCTTTACCTGTACTTAATTTTTCTTGTAGTAAAAATAAAAAATAATCGTGAAATTGGTGTACTATGAAACCCTTGCTTATTATATATGTCGATCTTAGTATTACAGAAATGATTTACGTACAACAGTAAGGTGTACAAATACCTAAAATTTATTTATCCCTCGTAAAACATCAGTAAAAATATATTATAAATTGTTTTCATTCACAAATATTAATTTCTTATAAATCTAACAGAGGTGCCACTTTCCAGACGAAAAATCTTGCAATTTAATAGTTTAAAGTTTATTTTTAACTATTTTTAAAAGAAGAAAATATGTACGTGTAGGTAAAGGTTAAATGTATGCTCCTCTGGAACCACTTTTTCAAAATGCAATTTAAATTTTGAAAAAGTGTCTCCAGAAGATCACATATTTAACCTTTACCTACACGCACATATATTTTTCTTTTAGAATAAGTTAAAAATAAACTTTAAAGTGGGGGTACTACGAAACTCTTGCATACTCTATTCTAAAGCCAAGTAAATACTCCTCTTAAGCTATCTTCAGTACATTATAAAAGATGTAGATGTAGAAATATTTGTATGGAAATGTTTATTAGTTTAAATATAAAAACCATAATAAATCCTCCAAAGTAACAATACTAAATATTTTGCAACTAAATATATTGTAGGTACCTATTTGTTGTATATCAAGTAAAACAAACAAATCTCAGGCAATTTTCAAGATCTCATTTTAGATAAACTTAAACCATTATAAAGTGAAATTTTACGCAGGATATTTCGCTGTGGTTATTATTTTGTCATTTGCTATCTTTCATACACTTGATAATTTGTCTATCTTCATATTGTAGATTCTCAAGTATCAGTTCTCACTGAAATGGAGTTTCAAACATAACCTCTAATTGTATTGTAATGGAATCTGAAGAAGCCCTCAAATATTACCTAGATGAAGTTAAGGATTCACAAAATGATATAAATAATATTGAAGAAGATATACATATACCAAACGGTAAGTTTTTACTTTTTCTTTTTTATTATTCCATTAATACATTGTCTAAAATGCATTACTATATTTTGGAGAATAAACAGCAGCAAGAGAGTTAAAAGCCAATAATCTCGGCACGCCCACCAACAAAATATTTTAGGCTCAATTACTGTGATATTGCTTGATATTGTTTTGTTATTAGTCTAGTCAAATATAAAAAATATATAAACAAAATTTATTGATTTATTCAGAATAAACGAAATTTTGTACTTAAGAACATTGTCCGTCTTTGTTTATGGTATTTAACAAAATTTTAGGAAAGAGGCCATGTATTTATTTTTATTATTATTATTATTATTATTATACCATTATAAAATTTTAACCAAATTTTGGGAGTGGTATACTTAATTATTGAGGGAAAGTTAAAATTAATATATAAAAATATGCTTGGCCTCTTAGGCATGTGAAACCTTTCTCATTCCTAAAATTTGGTTAAAATTGCACCGTAAACAAACACGGAAAATATTGCTAAGTAGAAGATTTGACTGGTCTAATAACAAAGACAATATCAAAGCAATAAATATCACAGTAATTGGGCCTAAAATATTATTATTTTAAAAGTTATTAACTTAATAATCTAAATATTTTTTTAGATTAGTAGAGGTATCTATTTACTTTTGCTACAGGATTTAAATATTTTAGTAAGGATAATCTGTAAGTTTTATTTTTAAACATTTTTTCAAGATGCTTGTATTTTTTTTGGTTGATAAAAAATAACGTGTTGTTAACTAGAAGGCCCCTATTTTTTATATTATGAAATATCTATACACACAACAATCAACTATTATGGCTGACTGATTAAATGAGTGCAATCAAATGAATTTAAATAGAATTCCTAATTCATAAAATGTTATGTACATATCTTTATTTTTAACAAAGCTACATACATAATATTATTACTCATAATATTCTAATAATTTTTGTTAATTTTTTTGAATATCATTCCTTCAAATTAAATTTTTCTTTCATCAGTCTAATATTCCTCTGCGTCATTTTTAATCAATGGTCCCAAAATTTTATGATTGGTGTTTATCAGTTCTACTTTTAATTTTCAATCGAATGTTAGCTGACAACAAACCAGTTGTAATTAAATTGTGTGAAGAATGTTCAAAAAAGGTTTGGAAAATTATGGATATTTTGAAAAATTTTAAAACTGTATGTGGTAATAATTATTGTAACTGATTTTCCATTTCTGAAACGATTTTTACAAGGTGATTTAAATTAATGAAAACTGGATAAGAAAAATTAAATCATAATTAAATTTTTATTTTTTCAAAGAAACAACAAATTCTAATAAAACTACTATTGGGTAATTGTTATAAAATAAACTGCACTCATCACTTTATATTAGGATCTCCGCTTTAGATTTCGTATGTCAAATTTCAGAAGCTGAACAAGCTACCGATTTCCTTCAAAATGCGGGTTTAACTGATTTAAGTAATCTCTATCAAGAGGGCAAAGAGATAACTGAAAATGTGATCAAAGACTCAGTTAGACAACGGAATTTGACTGAAAAGCAGGCCCAGACGATAAGATCTCGGGTACGAACCCTAAATAAAACTCTAAGGAGCCGGCAGCCAAGAAGAAAACAAAGACAGGACATCAGAGACGTATCATGGAATGTCGAGGTACCTATTTTTGACACAATAATACAAGTTATATGATGATTGCAACGTTGCCGCGTTTATAAATTTATCACAGTTTTATTTGTTGATAAAATTGAGGGCAGCATCCTTTTCAGTTTAATTTTTTTTGCAAAGATATTTTCACGTTTTCAGCAATTCTGTCTTTGTAAGCATACGTCATATCTGACAGACTAATAATGGTATTTCAAATACGGCAATTTTGTTTAAAAATACAGGATAACTGACCTAAAAATTTATCCCAATAACGACTTTTTGTCCACATGATGTGTAAGGTTTTTTCCGGGTTTTTCTCACATCTAAGTCAAACGGAGCACAAGGGCGAATAATAGCCATCCTTCCTTCTCCCAAACTTTAGTTTCTAGGGTCCACTCGTGAGGAGATGATTTGTAGGGAGATTGTTATTGTCAATATAGTGTTTGTTCCTATGTTAACATTTTTAGCAGCCACAAAAAAAATGTAATTGTTACCATTATTTATAAGATTTAGATGGAATTAAAAAATCGGTGGGCTTAAAAACATTAAAATAAGAAACAGGAATAGTGTACATATCCTGCAAAGACCATTTTTTTTTAATGATAGGTATAATAATTGTGCCATTTCCTTTAAAATTCATTTTTAAGGTCCTCTTATCGATACGCTATTTTATGCTTTACTTCACCGACCTACTATTATTTAAAATAGACAGATAAACACGAGGATAAACATACATTTCTTCTGAAAATGTTTGTTTTTGTACCTGTCGAATGATTGTAGAATTTTGAAGATAAAAATATATCGCTCTTAATGGTTTTCTAAATACATTTCATTTTGTTGTTAAAAATAGTGAAGCGAAAAGGTGCACCTGCATAATATTTCAATGATATTTTGTTTAAATGCTAAGGTAAGTGCTTTAGGTTTACAAACTTGATGTCAAACATTTGAATATACTCAGATCTTATTCGATTTTAACTAGATCGACTGATTTTCTATTCGCTCATTGTAGAGATACAAAAAATAATATACTTGGCAACGTTGCAATTTCTTAAAGTAGGAGTTACTGAAATAAAACCCTATTTTTAAGATGGATATCTTAAGTAGTAAGATCTTTGAGAGTAACCTGCTGCATTCTGTTTGATTTAAACGTGCTTATAATTTAAGTGCAAGAAGTATCTGCACTAGATAATATTAAAAATCTGTGTAAGTTTTCTTAGCAATGTTTTTATTTTACGTTTAAAAAGCCCTATTATGATCAGCATTTATTATACATTAATTAGCATTTAATTTATTCATAATTTAATTGTGTCGTTGTATACGAGGGTTGTTCGTAAAATAAGGTCTTCATTTTTATTTTTTATTTTGTTTTTTTAAAGAAAAACACATTTATTTACAATAAATATACATTATTGGAAACCCTGGCTTTCTACTATTTTCCTACATAATCTTCGTTGCGATAGATGTATTTTTCCATGCGCTGTAGCATTTTTCGTATAACCGTGTCATAGAACTCTCCCACCGCGGCGCGCAGTTAGCTTACGAACTCTTCGTTCGAATCCTGAAATTCGTCCCACCCAGGTGTGACTTCAACGTAGGAAAGAGACGATTACACAAATATGTAGAAATAGGTCAAGCCAAAAAAGTAACTCTATCTTTAAAAAACGAATTAAATTAAATTGAGACATTAATGAACAAAATACCAGTACTAGGATCCTCGAGTTCAATCCGAACTTTTTGATATTTTATTATAAAGAGTTTGTAATTTCTTCCTATCAGCCAGTACATTTTTCTGAACTTCATTTTAATTTCTTCTAATTTCTTTTTGACATGTCCTCTCCAGCCATACTCAACCTGTGGCCCTCGGGCCGCATGCGGCCCTCCAAGCTGTTCTGTGCGGCCCTCCAAGCTTTTTTGTGTGACCCCAAACGATTATTAGTAATTGAAATGGTTGACCTATAGTCATGTCCTTGTGACTTTTCAAAGCAATAACAACTAAAACAACATGAGGACCTTTTTTTTAGAAAGTATGTAAACTAAAACAATATGAAGACTTTTTTTTAGAACATTGTGGCCCGTGTAGCATAACAAACAGATTTATGTGGCCCGAAAGAAAAAAAGGTTGAGTACAGCTGGTCTAGAGGCATACCCAGGTAATTTTGCTGAATCGTCAAAAGGGATCTAAGTATACGTTATTCTAAATAGAATGTGTTGCTTCCGTTTATTTGTAAAGTTGACGTGAATGATCTTGTTTTCATTAAAATTAATGCGCCATCTTTTAGTCCAGATGTGGATCTGGTTTATTCATTTTTGAATTTTTCTGGCCGCTTCTTCGTGATCTTTTCCTATAGCTAGAATTGCAGTGTCGTCTGCTAATGTAGCTATTGTAATGCTCAAGGTTTAGGTATGTCGTTGGTGTATGGTAGGTAAATTATGGGACTTAGTACACTACCTTGTGGTACTACTGCCTTCATTTCCTTTAATTCAGAATAGGCTTCTTCCTGTTTAATTTTGAAGTATCTTTCTGTTAAATATGATTTGAATAGGTCTGAATATTGTCTTGGCAGTAGTGTTTCCAGCTTCTGGAACAATACTTCATGCCATACTTTATCAAAAGGTAGTGCTACATCCAGGAATATTGCAGAGCAAACTTTGTTTTCTTTTAACGATTTTTAATAGTGTTTGTGCACTTGTCTTTTGTAGAATGGCTTTTTCTATGGAATTAAGTTCTGTTATTGGTTTCAATCTGTGAGGAGAATTTTTCGATATCACAGGAAGTGAAGAAATTGGTCTGTATGATGAAAATTCCTTAGGTGATTTGCCTGGTTTTGGAACCATGGCTTCTACTATTTTCCAGAGCTTAAGTATATACCTCAGTCTAAATGATGCATTAATTAGATGCTTTATTTTTACAATTGCTTTCTTTCGAAGTTGTTTAAAATTTCACCCGTAATTAAATCAAAACTAGGAGCTTTTTTCGGATTAATATTTTTTTCATTTCATTAGACTTTTGAGAAGTGGGTCTAATGTTGATATTTTCTGTTCAATCCAATTATGATATTCTTCATCATTTGGCTGAAATGTCATTTCTGAATGCTTTGCAAATTTACAGGCCTTTTGGTAATCTGCTTTTCTATTGGTGGATTTTCAATTATAGCCTTTTAATTCTATTAGTAGCTCTCCAGAGTCAATATTATGTGCTTTTGTTATTAATTAGTTCACTCACGTAGTTACCAATTGACTCTTTCTTGTTTAATATGATTATAATGTCTAGTTTTAATCGCCGATTTGTATTGTTTCAAGCTCTTTTATCAAAGAGGGCTCTGGTTTTTTGCCATTTTCTTTTTAATTTCCTTTTTTCTTTAATTTTTTCTATAATTTCAGGTAATTGTTTTTCCTTTTACCCTATGAGTTATTTCTGGTGTATTTTCCCATGTTATTATTTGAATATTTTTTTAACTAGTAATTCAACCTCGTTATTTAGTTACTCTTCAGTTATTAGTGGTACCGAAAGGTTAATTTTATCCTCAAGTTTTATTTTTAAGCTTTTCCAATCTGTTTGTTTAGGAGGGTTTTGAATATTATTACTCAGTGTAAGAAGAGTAAGTGAATAATAGTAAGTTCATATCTCAAGATTCTTTTATGAGCATGTAATTCATTAATATTTTTCTGACTATAAATAAGTCTACAAGATCAGGAATTTGTCCAGTATCTGTCACCCAATTTGTAGGTTTTTCTATCATTGTTTCGCATTTATATTGTTTTCATTCTAGTAAAAGTTTTTTACCTTTAGTTGTTGTTAGCCTAGATCCCATTGAGTGTTTTTTGCGTTGAAATCTCCTCCGATGATGAATCTATTTCCTTATGTCTCTAGAATTTTTTTTAATGTTATATCTTGGTGGGCAGTATATTGCTCTAAATCTAATATCTTTAGTTTTTACATTAACTGATGTTTGTATTTAGTTATGTTTGGTAATCCGTGTCTTGGTAATGATTTATAGATTCCTGTATTATAACGACACTTCCTCCTTTTTTGTGTTATCCGGATATATGGTGTGATATACCCTGTACCCTTTAAATTTGTTGTAAGACTCTGTAGTGAAATGTATTTCAGAAATAAGACACCCATTTATTTGTTCCAGAGCTAGTACTGTTTGTAGCTCTTGTTGGTGCTGTATTATTCCATTATAAAATTCTAATGTTATTAGTCATTTTTAACTTTAGGAATCACTCCTTGAGCACGATAGTACAGTTTGGATATTCGTTTTGCTTAGTTTCTCCAAAATTTGTTGAAACATGGCTTCACTAGGTGAATTAGTTTGTTTTGGTTGATTTTCCTTGCTATGTTTTTCGGTTTTTCCAGTTACTATCTGATTGTATGTCTTTTTCTCTTGAGCTTGCTCCGGTTCATTAGTTTTCTTTTTGGAATTGAAGGTAGGTTGATACGCCCTTTGTGGTTATTTGGGCAAACTAGTTTTCTTTGTTTGTTTTTCTCTGATTTTTGCAAGTAAACGTGTTTTTCTTTGTAAAAAAAATTGGAGACTTTAATTTACGGACAACATAAATTTAAAGAACAATACCCAAATAAATACTCGGATGATTGCATTAGATACCATTAATATATTTCATGTGTATGAAAGAGTCTGATTTGACTTTTTTTATAGACTTCAAGTACTGGGACTCGTTCACGATCTGCTACTCCTGATTCTCTTGATTCCCTCGATGTCTTAAATGATGAACTTACATCAGATGAAGATCAGCAGTTGAATTCGTTAAATCCGTTGTAAGTTTTTTTTTGTATACAAAAAGCTGTGCTCTCTTAGCAAACATTTTTGGATAAGATGATTTACATCAAATCGAACAGAATTTGCGTTTAAATAATGTTAATTATTTTTTCCAGTCAAGCTAAACATTCTTAATTGAAAAACGTCGCGAATTATCTAAATTTTTAAAAATATTATGAATAATTTTCTAAAGTTATTTTCAACTTCCACTATAGATGTAGAACTTATTAGTTGGTGTTAAGCTATTCGAAAATCTAGTAACATTTTCCACTGTTGGTGAAACTGTTTCAACATGCCATAATAATAAGATATGAAGGTTTTACTCGAAGAATCAAAAAATAATCAATTCATATAAACAACAATAATGCTAAATAAAAACAAGATCTTAATAGTTGTTAAGTAGTAAATTATTTTATTATTAATTATTACACCAGAGGTTTCATTTCATTCTAATAACATTAATATATCCTGAGGCATTCTCTTAGAATCACTCGAGCGTAAAATTAATTGACAATTAATAGCTTGCACCAGTTTTGCTACTTTATTCATTCATGTGTGGATCTAATAAGATCTTATTTCAATAACTATTGATATTCTATGACACACAAGTGTATAGTTTACAGGATCATTCCTGATCGATTACAAAAATCGTGTATTATATAATTAAATTATGCTTTATTTCAGTTTAAATATTAAGTAGTTATTTCGCAATAAAAAGACGACTAATATTTTTAACTGAAAGACAATAATTCAATCATTTGTGTAATACTAAAGCCTTATATGATACATATTAGTTTCTCCTTGTATAAATGCACTTAATTTCAAGGTTCATTAAAGCTTAATTGCTAGCACCCAAAAAGATATAGGCACTAATTACGTTCTATAAATGATTGAATTACATCTACCAGAGGCGGGACTACTGTATGGGCGCTACGCTTAGCACAGTTGTATTATGTTACATAATATCGCTACTTTCCGGAAAGACCGACACAACTGGAAAAACTACATTGTTACTTTTTTACCAACATTCATCACAGAATACAGTCAGAATATAGTCACAACTTAAATTCCAAAAATAACCGCTGTACACTATACTGTCGCGAAATGTCACTATTCTGAATTTCCCCTGTCAGTTGTACCATGACAGTTGCATTGTTAATAGGTCTTTTCCTTTGCATCGAAAGTGTAGACTTCTGAAAATATCGTTCCATCCGTACAATTTGTATAAATGGAACGATATTTTCAGAAGTGGTGTAGCTCAGTGCTACACTTTCGATGCAAAGGAAAATACCTATTAGCTCAAAGGGGTCACATAACAAAACATTCTGAGTGCTTTTAAAATATTTTAAGAAACATTGTCACATCTTCATTTGTCTCTATTTTCTTGACAAAAGTTGGTATACGAGGAGTGATAAAAAATATGGCGAATATATTTTTTTTAGCAGCAACTGCTGACACTTAATGTAATTTGTCAGATAGCCTAATCCATTGAGACAGGCAGTGTCAAATTGAAGACACGTTCTGACTTGTCAGTCAGCGTCCAGCGCCGCTATAGTGAGGTTGTGTTTATCGTGTCTTTTACGTATCAAGGATTTCGAAGAAAGCGTGAATATTAAGTTCTGTTTCAAATTAAATCAAATTCCACGTAAACCTATTACTTTGTTTTTAATAAAATTATTCACCGTATTTTTTGATCACACCTCGTATTTTTCAAACTCACATTGTTAGTCCAGCACTTAATGTAAACTTTATGTTTTTTTAAATTAAGCTAATTAAGAAATAACGTCACATTTTAAAATAAAACGCCTTTGCCCGTAAAAAGTTATTGAATTTAAGTTTATATTGTCGTTTTTGTTACCTTCTTTAGAATTGAGACGTTTTTTCGATAAAACGTAACATTTCAAGTAGACTTTAAACTCTTTTATATTAAAAGATTTGCCTTCTAACCTTTTTATGTAAAACTTCTTCACACATGATTATTTTTTTAGTATTAGCAACGACGAAACACTACTAGCTAATCTAATCATTCATAATCAAGCTGTTATTTACTTGCAAGTTATCAGCTAGTGTTTTATATTAGCCAGACGGCTGCCACATTAGAAAGAGCGAGAGGTCTACTGAATTGAGTGGGGATGTTTTGTGCGAGCGGATGTTTTATGAACGAACCAGCTCGTATAACTACGAATTCTGCTTTACACCGTTGCCACATTGCAAAATAAATGGTGTACTTTCCTTAAAATAAGTTAGTTCTTTTGGCATTTATATTATTTAGATTTTAGGGCTTTTGTTTATAAACTGAAATTGTCTGTTTAAGTTTTAAGTTGAACATCAAAATGACGTGATTTCGAACTTTGAGTTTCTAACTTTGTATCTAATATAAAATGTGATTTATGCTTTACCTGGGTTCAAATATTTTCTACTAAATAAAAACCAACTAATTTCTGTTTTTACGTCAATACAGTTTGCAATATCTAAAAGATTTAATTAGTATTAACCTCTTGATATTTGTATTTTAAAAGTCACAATTAAAAAAAAAACCTCTCCGATATGCTCTTTCTCGATAAAACTTAAAGTTATATTGAAAACAGGGACAAAACAAGATACACAAAAATATCGAAAAATTTTGATCGGTTCTAAAGAAGTAATATTCGAGTTGTGTCATTCTTTCTGGAAGGTAGTGATATGAATTAGAACGATTTTTCTTGAATAAGTAAGCACAAAAGCCTATGATGGTCGCCAAGCAACGTTTGCACAGAGGCCGCCAATTTATAGTGCATTTGCATCTATCAACTAGTTGTTAATACCGTTTACATGTAGTTCACTGGATAGTCAACAACCAGGTGTCAAAACGAAAATAAAATGGACGAATAGTGAACCGTGGCAACACAGGAAGTACAGAGGTGACAGAGGAGATGTCGCACATTCTGGATCCGAAAATGTAATACTTAAAGGTTACCAAGTTCTTACTGAAAATGGAACGTTACCCAGATCGACGAGAGAACGAAGCGGCAGTGATCCTACCACAGAAATTCACCTGCAGCCTTTAAAAAATCGTCACTCCGCTGAAATATCAAGGTAAGATTTTAGGCGATTCCCAAAGAGAGTGTTTATTTCATATTTATTTATAAACAACCTTAGACTAAAGAGACTGAAGATGTAACATTGCACACTGCGCATGTTGTCTATTTTAACCCCAAGTAACCCACCAATTGAAAATCATTGTTTGCACGACGCCACCCGAATTGCTCCGATTTTTCCATTCAACGTTCACCTCCTCCTGAGTTCAATCACCATTGACAGCTGTTTTTTGATTTATTTGTTGGTGTTTTAACAATTTAAAGTGTTCTAGTTATTCAATTTTAAATTTAAAATGCCACGATGTATCTTGAAAAATTGTATATACTTATAATACAAGTACCAATATTATGAAAGATAAAAAATATATTTGTTTTCAGCGGTAAATATTTATTAACGTTTTGACATAAAGCACCATACTCCTTTGTGCTGAATACTTCAGATCCGCATTAAGGGGTTTTAATAAATATTAAGCATCAAATACATATTTCAGAAAACAGATTTCATATTACTTAGAAATTAACAAAAGGGTAAAAGATTGAACATTTAATTTAAATAAGAAGTAAATAGGCATTGTTACTAACGAAATTTTGTTTTTAAAAAGTAGTTTTATAAGAATATTTACTAAAGGTGGTTTTTAGCTCTTTTTGGTAGATAAATAAGAAGTAAAGAAGCATAGTTGCTAACAAAATTTTATTTTTATAAGGTATTTTTATAAGAATATTAGATGAAATACAGAATGACCTACTTAAAATTTCAAGGTTAATCTTATTTGCGCTCAAATCGAAAGTGACTTTTGAATCTTAGTCTTAGAACTAAGTAAAACGCACAATATGATCTAGTGTAAGCAAAAAATACTAAAGTTACGGGAGTTAGTCACATTGTTAATAAAATGTTACATTATAAACCCCTAAACAACTCGAACAAAATTTTCGTTTACTAAAAGATCCAAATTCTAGCAATATTTATTATTTATTATACAATCGAATGCGGTTTCAAAGATAACGGGATCAAAAAATCCGAATCTCTAAATTTTGGAGCTAAATGCTCCGGTAAAAGCAATCGACCGATAGAGGTTACAAAAATAATCGATTTATCTATTATTCTGATATTCTTTTATGAAAATCGTTTTATCTATTATTTTTAATAAATTTTTTTTTAAGATAATGTAATAATCGATTTTAAAGGAAATACAAAAAGAAAGTAGATTTATTCAAAATAATCGATTGATTGAAAATAATCGATTTTTTTGGAAAAATCGGTTATTATTTATAAACGATATTTCGGTTATTTTTTAGAATTATCGATTTATCGGTAAATCAGCTTTTTAATAATCGATTATTTTCGATTTATCAATTATTTTATATTTCTCGAAGATAATAGAATGATCAATTTTAAAGGAAATTTGAAGAGGATTATCAGAAAATAATCGATAATTCGGTAATTTTTTTTTTTTTTTGAAAATAGATTTATCGTAGAATCGGCTTCTTAATTAATTGGTTATTTTCGATTAAGCGTTTATTTTGGAATAATCGATTATTTTGGTTATTTCAAAGATAATCGAATTATCGATTTTAAAGGAAATATAAAAATAAATTATTGATAATAATCGATTGATCGAAAATAATCGATTATTTAAAAAAATCGATAATTCGTTTTTTTGAAAATCGATTTATCAGTTAATCGACTTTTTAATTAATCGATTATTTTCGATTTTTCAAAGATTATCGAATAATCGGTTTCAATGGACGAAAAAAAAATGGATTATTTGAAAATAATCGATTATTTAAAATAAACGATAATTCTTTTATTATTTTTTGTAAACACTGATTTATCGGTTAATTGACTTTTTAATTAATCGATTATTTTTGATTTTTCAAAGATAATCAAGTAGTCGATTTTAAAGGAAATACGACAAAAAAATAGATTGTTTGAAAATAATCCATCGATCGAAAATAATCGATTATTTTCAATGATCGATAATTTATTTCGATAACAACCAACTCCTAGCGACCAAATGACTTTTAATAGGTTTAAATTTTAAAATGTTATCTTGTTTCAGACATGCATTTCTAGAGTTTTATGTGACTCGTCCTCTATATTAATATTCCTAAAGAAAGAAGCTGAGGATACAAGACAAAACAGCATTTTCTCATTTTGACTAATTTTTAATATTATGTAATAGCCGTAGAAAAAATATAGTGTTCAACTTACAAGGTTTGATTTGCAGTAGTCGCCTACGCACATGCTTTTTTTATAATACTCGTAGACAATGAGTCCATTTCTTGCTTTGTTAACAATATTCTATTTCAACATTTTACCGTAGTCTATTGCTGAAAAGTCTGTAGTAAATAAACGCTAACGAAATATTCTATAAAAGGTTCTTCTCTTTGCATAAAATGTGGCATCTGTTTGAAAAAATCACATTAATTTTATTTCATAATACAAAATTCCATTAAACGTATATTTTAAATAAATCTAATAGTTCCGGTCCCTGTCACAGAGTTCGGGTCTCTGCCCAGTTCCCCCACTCCGTTAACCTTTCTTTAAAAATTGGCAATATTTCCGCATGTTAAACACCGGTGTATGTTATATATCTGGTCTCTTTTATCTAAGTAAACAACACAGTAACAAATTGCGTATTTACGAATTTGTTACTGCCAATCTAAATTCCAATGCAACGCATGATGACCTGGAACTCTAGAGCAGTTATACATTTAGCTTAGCGCTCTGCAGAGTAACATTTTCTGTCACCGAGGTTGGATTCGAAATCTTATATTCAAATTAACAATTTGGATGTCGGAGACTTGTTCTGTTGTAGAACACATATAACGCGAATAGGTGGATTCGAATCCTCCCAGATTTTTTCAATTGTTCATTAAACTTGTTTTCATTTTGGGGGTTCAAACATAATTTTGATTATTTCGTAGGGGTAATTTTATAATTTATTTAGTGATTTCTAGAGAATTTAATAAGCTATATTTCTACTATAAAGGGTGAGAGATTGTAACACATGTTTTATTTTGTTTTTTTTTTTTTAGGAATAAGTTAACTAACCTTCACACTCAGTTGTCTCGAAGCCATACTAGTATATCATCGAAAAATAATACTTCAAGTAAAATTTATATAACCAATACCGAAACCAATGAAAGTGAAGCTGTGAGTTTTGAAGGACTATTAAAGGAAAACGAAATTGAGGATAAAACCAGTATTAGTCAGGTACGTTTTAATATAAAATTTTATCTGATTAAGTAGTAAGCCCCATCTTTGATCAAGTTATTGTAACGTTTATTTTATGAAATTAGCCCTAAACTGTATCTATCGAATACATGAAAATGGCAATGAATATGAGAGAGGCCTTTGTGACCGTATGAGCCTCTAAATGAGATTGCCCAAAACCAAATTCGTAGGCAAACCTTAATGAAAAAAAATCTTATTTTCAGAAATTCGAAAATGAAGGTGTTTGCATTGATCAATTAACTGATAGCGAATATCAATATTTGAAACCTCTTTTATATATGGAACTAGTGGCCATCTTTGATCAATACAAAATTGTTAAGAGTTACTTAAAAAGAAAAGCCAGTAAAAATAAAGGTAAATCCTTATCTTGCAATTTTTATACAAATAGTGTAGAATGGTAAGACATATTTTAAACATTAAGTTATTAGGATTTTGCAAAATATTATAACGATTTTTAGGGGGTAATGTATTCGGAGTGAACCTTTCAACCCTAGTGATGCGTGATATGCCTAGACCTACGGACAACTCGATGATTCCCGAAATATTTCAGACTGTCATCAAAGAACTGAATGTGAGGTGTATACAAGAGGACGGAATACTTCGCATCGCTGGACAGAAACAAAAACTTGAAACGCTTTACAATGAAATAGAAACCAAATTTTATAATAATAGGAAAGATGTGGAAAGTTTGCTCAATCAAGCAACTGTTCATGAATTAACTGGTATATTGAAAAAGTTACTGAGAGATTTACCTGATCCCGTATTTACGATGGAGTTGTTTGAAATGTTCTATAAAACAAGCTGTAAGTTTTTAATGAAGCTCTTAACTAAATTTGGGTTTGTTTGGGTTTCTTTAAAATTTAATGAAAACCGTCCGTATTTTTGAAGAACCCACACAAGCCTTTTGTATCTATATCATATTTTGTAGTATTTTTTTATGATTTTAAGAATACTGACTGTTTCGGTTTAAAGAAATACTTTGCATCTATCAATTGGGAGTTATTTCTTGCAGCTGATAATCTGGACTCTGCTGTTATTATAATTTTTATCAAATATTAAAAAGTGCAATAAGCCGTTTTGTGCCTTTAAAACAAATGAATAGTTCAAATTTTCCTATTTGGTGTTCAGCAGAATTAAAAAAACGTAGTATTGACAAAAAAATCGCACATCAGATATTTAAAAAGTACGAAAACATCAATGATTACAATATTTCTCACGTTGGTAACTCTATTAATGGCAACTGAAAAGTTTTTTTGAAATTATAAACATTGAAAGGGCGAATTTTTTGTACCAAATTTATTGTTTCTTGATGATAAAATTGGCAATACAAATCAAGGAATTACTGACTTATTTGCTGACAATTTTTCTAAAACTTACCAGCCACGGGGGGTTTTGGAGGTTAACCCATGGATCCTTTGAAATAAAAATGAAATGCTTAATTATATTATACAGAATAAATTTTTAAGGTATTTGTATTATAAAAAATATCACACTCGGCCTGATTTCAAAACCGTAAGATCAAGTGATTTAAGAACTGAATTCAAAATAATATCTTTAGAAAGTAGACGAAAATTACTATCAATGATATTTTTATATAAAATTATTAATAATCGAATAAATGCACCCAATTTATTATCACTTTTACCATTCAGTATTCCTACACGAACTACTCGAAATTTTAACATATTCTATATACCCTTCTTACCTACTATTCGATCTCCCATTGTGGACGGCGAACAATTTAAATTATCTCCATGATCTTGACTGGAATATATCTTTATATAAATTTCGCACTTTAATATTTCAATGTCTTATAAATATTTTCACCTAAATTATGTTTTGAATTTGATTCCTTGCAATTCTGAAACCCGCTCACTCTGATATTTTATTTTCTTCTGATTATATAAATTAGTAAACTTTATCTGTATAAACTTATCCATGTAATTAGGCCTATAGGCCTGTTTGGGTAAATAAATAAATAAATATTTGCACGTGAGATATATAAAGAGAGGCTCTCGTGATTTGGGTGACTGTCTGCCATGATTGGACAGATGGATACACCTCTACTGCTAATAGGCTAGCGCGTATAGTCTGAAAGCCCGTAACAAAAAAGGCTCAACATTTAATAATAGTTTCTATTCAGTGATGCATAAATATTCCAGAGTCAGCAGTTTGATTTGAGAGACCTTTTGAGAGTTGTCAAAAATGAAAGCAACGTGACCAATGGTCAAAATTTTTATTTTTTATAGTTTTTACGTTAATAAATATAAAAATTCAAGTTAGACCTCAATCTAATAGAATTTGACCAGTCAACAGCCACCAAAGGTCAGAAAACTGAGAGTAACCGAATGCCAATTTTCTTGTCATAAAATGGCTTCCTACAATTTTGACAGTTAGGAATCTAATAATTTATGAAATTTTCTTCCGAATTGTGACAGTTGCACAGAATTTAGTATTTTTTTAAATATAATATGTATTCGAATCACTTATCGATATTTTTACCTTATTCATTGCCTTTCTATTATAAATATTATTCTTTTTATCATATGTCGAAAAAATAATTGAATTCGGTTGAAAAATATGAGAATTATTAAGAACCAAACTTTTTCAAAATAGAGCAAAATGTTAATTAAAATGTTGATATGAATTAAAAAATATGCTTTAGTATAAATCATTGCACTTATTTTTTAAGTGTTTTCGATTTACTTTAATTCAATAAATAGATAATCTTAAATTAATACTCAAGTGTGTATTGGATTTTTTTTTTTTTTTTTTAATTTTACAAATGTCATTCTTGATTATGGATTTTCAAGTAATGCAAAACTTCTTATCCAAATAATTTGTTTTTGTGAGTGAAATATGTGTAAGATAAACTTTTTCCCATTTGGTGATGAACATAAAGTAATTAATTGTCCAAAACAAACAAAAAAATGTAAAAATTGTCTAATCTCCGTTAAAATATTTAAATTAAATTATGATGTGAATCATGAAGCATATAGTCTGGAATGACCAACATATAAATTTTTCTTACAAAGATTCAAAAATACTATATAAATATTCTAAGTAGCCTGCTATATTTGGTGTAACTGGAAATTCATGTCACTTTTTTAACTAATTCAAATATTTTATGATAATAATTGATCAAGATATAGTTTTAGATCAACTAGAACAACTCGAACAAGATCATCGTGATGACCTTATAGAACCGGACTAATACAATTTGAAGATGTCAACTTCAAAAAATTATTGAATATGCATTTTATTATTATTAGTGCTAAAAAAAACTTTGATGAATTGTTAGCACTCATTGATACATATAATTTACAAACTTGTGATATTTTTGTATTAAGTGAATGTTTTAAAACTGCATCCTCAAATAACTTTAATATACCTGGTTTTACAACTATCCATAATGGTGGTGATTATAACAGGAATAATGGGGTCTTGGTTATGATTAAATCTATTTTAAATTTGTGGCAATAAATTAATTATGTATGTGTGTCACAAACCTGATATTTGATGATATACAGGGTGTTAAAAAAAAGTGTCACAAAATAAAACGGGGGGTAGTATGGGCCAAAATATGCAGAAAATTCTTAATAAACATATGTCCGCAAATGAATGGTTTCAGAGATACGGAGTGTTTTGTATCATTTTTTGATTATCTTTTTTCATTCTCAAAAACTTGCTTTTCTTATCGGAGTCTACCGATGTTTTTTCATAGATACTATTTGCAGTTATTATTTTGTTGTGGGTGAATAATTTTATAAATTTTCGTTATGCCTGTTTACACTAATATTGAATTAGCTGACATGCATTTTATGTACGGTCGTTCAAATGGCAATGCGAGGGAAGCGCTACGTCAGTATTTGAACATCTCATTTAACTATATGTTGTTATTGATTGTTTATAAATATCATTGTTTTTTTATAATAATAAAACATTGTTATAAACACAAAATGGTCCGTATCTCCGAAACCGTTAATTTGCGGTTATATATTTATTAAGACTTTTCTGCTTATTTTGGGTCATACTATTCACCATTTCATTTTGTGACACTTTTTTTTTAACGCCCTGTATATCTATTAGAATAATCGCTTTGTATAGACCAATCCCAAATAGTTAATTTGATCTCATTTATTGATGAAATTTTAATTGGTGATATTAATATTAACCTTTTAGAAGAAAATGTAAACAACTATCTTTCCATGCTTTCGAAATACGGCTTTGTACCATACATATTAAACCCCACCCGTGTTACCCCTGAAACTGTTTCCTGCCTTGGTCAAATTTTCTTGAAAAAACCATACAATAATTACGAAAATTTTAAATATAAATCATATACTTAACTGTCACATTACAGACCATTGCCCAATTAGTTTATACATTAATACAATACAAACCTTTTTAAAAAATGAACCCTGGATTGATTGTTTACAATCAAATGATGGGTAAGGGGAAAAACAGACGTCACAAAACTGACTTACTGAGAAAATAAAACTGTACTTTAATATTTTTTACGCAATTTATTACTGTATATTTAACTGGTTACAAAAGAACTTAAATTTGAGAAAAACGAAATGACTTCCATTTTAAAACTAACCTAAAATAAAGAGATTTTCACCTGTATAACAATGTTTCATAAAATTCGTTAGTATTTGGGTGAAAAAATCATTTTAGTATTTGCAAATCGTTGTAATTAGGCTGGACAACATCACTAGCAGAATATCTACGATACTCTCGGGCGAAACTCTCCTTAAATTGAATTGAAATTGCACTCTAAAATCTAAATAGTTCATGATCGTTAGGTAGATTATTTTGAAGAAATTACTGGGAGTTTTAAAACCGTTTTATTATTATTAAATTTGGTATGATCAATAACATACTGATGGGCCTGTAATTCTGTATATTATACCCATCGCCGGTTTTAAATACAGGTACAACCAAACTTGATCTCCATAATGTCGGAAAGTATTTTAGTTCTAACGGCTGTTGGAATAAAATATGAATAAGATGATTTAGGGTAGCCACCCATCATTTTAGAAAATAAGAGGGGATGCCATTGTGCTCAATGCCTAATTTATCATTTACACTTAGAATTCCATTAAAATCTTCAACTGAGAATGAAAAATTTGGAATATGAACCGCAGTCTAATATTCTTATCAATTAGTAAACTGTTAAGTTTTAGAAAAATGGTCAGCAATTTCTTTGTCATCAAGAAACATTAAATTTGGTAAAAAGGTTTTGCCCTTCGAATTCCTATAATTTCAAGTAAACTTTGGGTTATCATTAATATAGTTGTCAACGCGAGAAATATAATTTACAGAACGTTGTGTAGAGAGGCGTTTACATTCAAATCTCAATACAGTGAATATATTGTAATCATTGATGTTCCCATACTTTTTAAATCTTTGATGTGCGGTTTGTTTGTTAATAGTAAGTGTTTTTAATTCTGCTGAGAATAAAATAGAAAAATTTTAAATATTCATTCGTTTTAGATGCACAAAACAGCATATCGCATTTCTTAATGTTTGATAAACATTTTCAACATCAGAGTCCAAATTATCAGCTGCAAGAAATAACTTCTAATTGATAGGTAGAAAGAAATTATTCAAACCGAAATAATCAGCATTCTTTAAATCATAATAATACTGAAGACTCTTAAGATCATTTATAAAAGGTTGGGCCTTAATAGTACAAGATAAGATGATGACGACTATTTGTTAGAAGTAAATAATGCGCTAATTTTGCTATTACAAACTCACGATTCTGAGAAAAACTAACAAACTAACTAAATAAAACATTGTTTGAATTTCGAAAATGGTTTAGATGTCTAATATTCTAATAAAAGAACAAAATTACAAATATAGTTCTGGCAGGATAATTTATGAGAAAATCCAATAAAAGTTCATGATCTGGGGTATTATTAGCGGCAGATTTTTAATTTTAATTTTTATAGATTTATAAGCCGTTAAAGTTCGTCAAATCGTAACTTTAAAAATTCATATCTCCTAAAATATTAACTATCACAAAAATATATAAAACCTTTTTTGTGTTAAAATAATGAATATGAATAAAAATTGTCCCATTTAAAAATAATATTTTTTAGGAATTGTTTAAACAATTTCGTTTTAAACAAAATTGATACGTATTGTTAATTAAAAAATTGCGTCGGAATAGTTTTCGACATTCTTGCAACGATTATTTCTTTAGATTAATATAGTATTTTAGATGTAATTGCTTTTGTTAGTCGTGAAACATAAAAACATCCTGTATATCATAGCTATACTAATATGAAATCGCATTTATTTTTATATATAAATTATTTTGTTGCTTTTAGTGATAACAAATACCGAGGACAAGGTAAAAGCATTAAATTTGCTGGTGTTGATGTTGCCAATAGAACACAGAAATACTTACCGATTACTCTTAGAATTTTTTTTGAATGTTGTGAACAACGAAAAACATAATAGAATGAATCTTCATAATGTTGCTATGATCACTGCACCTTCATTATTTCCTCCAAGACTGTTATTACCTAAGTAAGTAAATATAGTTTTTTTTCACTTTTCAGGATTATTTAACTAAATTATATAATACATATTACATAACATGGGTCTAGCAGAAGAGATTTTGTGTCGATTCTGTCAGAAAGAGGGAGGAACTGCTGTACAAATCTAAGCGGCGATCACAGACAAAGCCTGATCATTTATAACAAAAATATATTTTATCAGCCATTGATCTGGCGGTCTGTAATTTGTCCATTTTGTAAAATTGGTATACAAGGATTTGATTATTAGAAAATAAAAATTTTACACCCCTATTCTTAACACAACCGTTTATCAGACCATCCTTAATATATTAATTATTATGATACATTTTCTATACAAGGTATAAGAAAAAAAACGTGAATATTTTTGTTTTTCATTCCACTTTTGAATAAAATTGATCTGGTACGTTAATACTTGACCAAAATCTTGATGGGCCAAAATTAAGATTATCGTTCAATGCAAATTGTTGAGCGAGAATTTTTTACCCTAAATAATTATTTACTAATTATTTTAGCATTTTCTAAAAATAGAATAGTAACGAAGTTGTTTTTTATATATATCAAGATTAGTTTTGAAATTGGGCACAAGTTTAATTTTCTGGGCATATTTAATTATCATTTTTTAATGTAAATTAATTTATCTATGTGCAAGTTATAAAACCTCATGTTTTAAGAAAAATCAAAATAAATAAAAAACTAAAGGTGATAATAATTAGTTAGATATAACGAACCCTTAATAAATCTGTTATCTATACATATAGAATTTTAAAATGCAATAAAATACAGAGTGTCCCGTCGGCCTTGGACATTTCCTGTATACCTAACGATTAATAATAATTATTCTTAGCTAAATTTAAATCAAAAGACTTACCATTTAAAGCTGCTCATTCTTCCTAAAACATCATACAAGAAATGTTAAAAATAAAAATATGTTGTAATTAATAATTTGTTTACAGAAGAAGATAAATTTATATAAAATGGCTCACCTTTCAAAAGCACTTAATCTTCCCTCACTCCCTGTCATATTTGTTCCAGTATTTCTTACCGCTTCTCCATAACCATTATTTTCAGTAGATTTTCCCGATTTAAACACGTCCGGAAGAATCTTCTATTCCCGACGACATTAACGACCATCGTATCATGTTCAATTCTATAGCAACCCTTTGATACGAATGTATCTCCGGCCAGTATATCTGCAGCCTTGTCCATTTGATCCTGGAAGGTATATCCCAAGACAGTATAATGTAAATCAGAGTTCTACATTGACATCAAAAGACATACATTCTAAGATCAAACGTCTTTATTGTCAGAGGTGAAATAAACATGAGCTCAGACCATTGATATCGTGCTACCGGTTAACTCGAGAAATTTGCGGCGATTTAAATTTGTTTTAACGGAGATTTTCTGAAAATAAAAAAAACAATTAATAGGAATTTTTCTAAATGTTAAAAGAAACATCTCCAGTTTACGTTCACGACGATGTGTACTACTAGTGGTACACAGCGAATTTCACTGATAGTCGTCGTGTACCACGGATGCTACACCAGCATATAAATAATACATGGCTTCTAAATCCGTGTAGTTCTAAATAAAATCTTTGATATTTGGGTGACGGCTATAGAAGTGGTTAATAAATCCCCGTGTACCATCGATAGCGCACTCGTCTTTAAAAAATATGAAAATTATTGAATTACAAAATATTTTTATTTTATTTTTACTTTTAGAAAAGACAAATAAACTGGTCTTTAGCGTAATTAAAACCTAATCTATGTAGTAAAACTTGGTCAAATTTTTTAAAAATAAATACTAAAAAATTAACGAAATTTTTGATTACTATCCATTATTTACAATTTATTACACAAATATAAATGTACTGGTAAACTTAGAGATTTTGAATGACATTTTCAGTTTGTTGAGATCTTCATGACTTATCTTTTGATGTAGATTGCTTAAAATTGGCACATCGGGGTTTTTTGGGATGATAAATCATAATGTAAGTCTAAATATCTCCTACCTCATTGATGGCGCTAGTTGCAAGGTTTATTTTTTTTAACCCCCCTAAATTTTCAGTTAGGTAATCTATGTCTATAGAGGGTGTTTATTAATTGAGTTCCGATACTTAAAGGTGTCCTTGGGTCATTTTAAGAAGAAAAGTTAATATCAACATTATTTCATACACCTCTTAATTTTTGAGCTACAGGGTGTTAAAGTTTTAAGGAAAAAATAACTTTTATCATAATTTTCTTCACCCTATAACTCAAAAATTAAGAGGTTTACGACATATGTTGATATTAACTTTTCTTCCTAAAATCACCCAAGGATTCACACCCTTAAGTATCGGCACTTAATTAATAAACACCATGTATATAAATAGGCAAAGACAAACCATTTTATCTTCTATTTGTGAACCGATTTTCTTTTTTTTTTATTTTTGTTTATAGCTATTGTCGAGCTTTAGTGTTATCAATAAAAAAATTCTTTCTCCCCCCACCCATTACTTCTCCCACTCTTCCTTTGGCACGCCTAAATGGTAGAAAAAATACTGTTAATGATTATTTTCGATACGTTTCATGACGGGGTGCAAACTGAGGTCGGACATAGGATATAGATACGGGTTAGGGGCCTCAAGCGTAACCTCAAAATATTTTTGTGGGGGATGTATGGGACCAAAGCCAGAGTCGAATCAGATCCATTTTGGATCTCATCCCCCTCTCGCCCGAAAATAGTCTCAGATATACAATTAACGAATGTATAAGAATAAACAAAAATTTTAGAAACATGCAAATTTTCAATAATGATAATGATTATGGTCTAATTTCGACCACTTGGCGAACACTAGTAATATTAAATTATTATTTCTATAAACAAACATTTTTATATACTCATCAGTAAAGAAGAATATTTGTTCTTTCATATCAGTTTCACCACATATAAAGCAATTCATTTTTCATACAAGGTGGCCCAACGAAATCTTGACATGAGGGTTTTGGGTATTAATATCGTGATGTTCTCGGACAGGTCGATTTTAGTTTAAAGGGGGATATTTATATCATAAGCTGCCATACATCATTACCCTGTTAATAAAATTAGCTTTCAAATGGAGTGCCTCACTTTACACGGTAAGTTTTTATCCCGCTAGAGGTAGCTAAAATCAAAAGTTACGCATTTAATAGTCACATCGCTCAATTCTCCATAAAATTACCTTCTAAATGATGTGTCATACTTGGCACTTTACCTATTTAAATTGCATTGGCTTGAGTGATGATAAGATAAAAAGATGTTCCCTTTCAAACTAAAATCGATCTGTCGGAGATTTTTAACATCCACAATATCAATAACCAAAACTCCCATATCAAGTTTTCGTTGGGCCACCGTGTATTTAAAAAGAAATAATTTGATATAGATATCATAAAAGAAAAACTCAATAGTTACAAGATGCACTTTTGACAGATTGATAGTTAAATGTTAATTATGGAAAAAAAATCGCGCTCAAAAATTTGCATCGGACAATAATCTATCTTTGATTAAGCCGTACCAGACCAATTGTATTTAAAAGAGGAATAAAGAACATGAATTTTCACATAATCTATTCTTATACCTTGCATAGAAAATTTAACGTAAAAATGCATATATTAAGGGTAGTCTGACAAGAATAGGGGTGCCAGACTTACATTTTTATTTCCTACTAATCACACCCTGTCAAAAAAAAATGTACCTATTTTGTATATCAATTTTACAAAAAAAATAAAAAAATGGAGAAGTTACAGACCGCCAGACAACGGTGTATTGTTTAAATATATTTTTGTTCTTATTATGGTTGAGCAGCCTTTGGCGGCGGCCGCAGCTTGGACTATACTCAAGACTGGTAGACATTTTGTTTCTGATATTGTGTTAACAAATTATTTTTATATTTTTAAGGGTAAGATACTGTATATTGGCCTGCCCTATTTATTATTCCATTACTGCATGTGAGTAGTGATTGTAAAAATTTGACACGAATATAAAACTTAACAATTAGTATTCGCAATTTACTTATTAATATTTCAGTTTATGTAAAATTACCTAAAGTTTGGTATTTTATGTGTAAAAATAATATAAAAAATGTAAAAATATATTTTATGCACGACCGGTCGATAAAGTCCAGATTATAAATACGTTTAGCGGGCGTAAATTGTCCCTTTATCGCCCGCAGACTACTTTACCGCCTGCGATCTACTTTGCCGGGCGATAAAGTAATAGTATATTATTCAACGAGCGGGTAATGATGGCTATTACTCACGAGGATGAAGTTTGCACTACGAGCCACAGGCGGATAGTGTAATCATCCGACTGAGTAATAGCCATTACCCGCGAGTAGAATACTATTCTTTTTCTATGAATATTAAATTAAATATTAGAAAAAAAGTTATTCAATATTTTATTTCATTTATTTGTTCCAATATTAATTATGAAATTAGAACAGTTTTGAAAATTAACAGACGCTTTTGAATCCAAATCAACAGTAGTAGTTATATTTCTACTAGTCAACTGGTTTTCCGTGTAGGTTGTAGTTGTGGTCAAATTTTGTTGAAAATAAGTAATGATTGAAAATAATTTCTTTTACACCTTCCCATTTTATGTCTAATGTGTGTCTAAAAACGCACTGTGTCTTATATTTTCTTCCTAACTTTCCCGGAATATTACATAGTGTTGTCCCTCTACAGTTTTTACATTCTTTTATCATAATTTTTATAAATTGGCACAATTATTTAATCATTTCTGAAGTGAGTTATCTTCTCCTTGTTGAGCTCTATCTAATTTATTTTTCATTCTTTTTATTTTATTTTTCAGGGATAACAATAAGTTAATATTAAAACACCTATCAAAAGAAGATTTAACCAAACAGATCAAAGATGCTGCAGTTTGTTGCTGCATAGTAGAAACCATGTTAAAGGCTGGTGACAAATTGTGGTCTGTACCGGATTACTTAGCGGAACAAGCCCGAGAAGCACAAAAGAGCGCGCAAATACGGAGGGACTTGAGCAAAGACAAAGATAAAAGAATTGTACGTTACATCATTGAGACAATTTTGTGCGGGTTTGGTGGTATGGGAAGTAGAGGTGATGGAACGAATTGTTTCTTTCGGTGTTTGCCCTTTTCAACCTGCTCTCCATTTAGCAACAAGCTCATTATAGATACGAGACAATATACTATGGGTCCATCAACGGCTCAACGATATACTTTACTAGAGTAAAAAGGGTACTTTAAATGTTTTTGATGAGTAAATACTAATCATTAATTCCGAAACTGATCTAGCATAAAAGAAGTAACGCGTTTCATCAACTTGAGTTTACAAAGAAAATTTCTCATTTATTTACTTTTTTATTATGTGTGCCAGAATACGCCTATAAGTCATTTCTTTCCGATTTGCATTTTTTTAATTCTTATTACCTTAAATAACCTAAATCGCATACTAAATTCCCAATTAAAACAAAAAGTTGCTTCTTGTATTCGTTTCTTTCCATATCCTATTTTGTTTTTTATGTAACTTTTCTCAGAAACTATATTCCTGTTGTAGCAATCTTTCTTTTTTTCTTGGCGAATAGCTTATATTAATTGTGTGTAATAACTATTATTATTTTTATTTTATAATACATATAACAGTTTTTTTATTTAATATAAATGGGATATTTTCTTCGTAAGCAATCATATTTGATGCGTTTACCTTTATTCTAATATGTTTCTTTTAATATATTAATATTAGAATAAATTAAAAATACTAAAACAAAAACAGTACCCACTAAAATATTAAAAATAATGTTGGTTGGCTAAGTGGAGTTGTAAGGAATGGCTCAAATAATTATCTATCTATATTTTCCAAACTTCAATGTATTGAACCATTTGGCAGTAACATTTTCCTACAAATTCATTACAAAATAATTATCGATATATCTTCATTTGAAAATAGCGTTTTAGCTGTAAACTGTAAAAAAATGTTGCTCTGAATATTAATACATACATAGATGGTATATGCTTTTATCATAATAACTATCTAACAGTACTAAAACGGGAACGAGGGACATGTACAATATTATTCTAAATTATAAAAATTTATAAATGTCAGTCTTGACCAATAGAGTTCTTAAAATTATTTTAAAGCGATGTTTAAAAATATGTTGAATTGAAACTACGGTAATCCGTACCCGACCTAACAAGGAACATACCAAAAAAAAAACTGCGAAAAAATATCTATATTTCTCATCATAAAATCTTTTTAACCCGAAATACTTTTCCTATCGATATTCAATATCTTTGATACCCTGTTTAAAGTGAGAACCGTCTAGATCCTCAAAATAGTCATTAAAGACTACTTCTTTATTATTGGCAAATCTTTTACCACCAAGTCATTTTTTCAAGTTAAGAAAAAAATATCCGAGGGAACTAAATCTGGTGAATTCATTGATTTTGGCCCTTGCGATAATGGATGTGTGAACAATGTCTAGATGAAACAACACTTTCTTTTTCACCAAATGCTGCCGTTTTTCTTGATTTTGAAGATAATATCCCACACACATCCCGAAAAACACAAGAAACAAAACCTTGACAGCAGAAAGAACTCTCTTCGCCTTCTTTGAAGTCGATTCTCCTTCTTCGAAGCCAATTTTCCCCTTTCAGTCTATTATTTTGACCGTTCCTCTGCCTCATGTGTGAAATGATGTAACAATGCTTCATCTTTGGTTATGAATCGACGCCAAAAATCGGCTTTATTGCTACAAACGCAGCACACACACCTTACCCACAGCTTTCTCATTTACAAAAGTTCAGGTAATATTCGATGTACATCACTTTTTGAAATGACTACTATCATGTCTGCTAGCTTTCGCATATTCAATCCAAGGGCATCCAATATGTATTCTAGCGTGATCACTTCATTTGGTCGACCACTGCGATGTTCGTCTTGGCAGCTCGTACGGCCTCGGTTAGACTCGGTCTCTGAATATGTTATTGTTGTAAACGAAGGAATAGACTCGCCCAGACTAGAATCTAGCTCGACTTTGATATTGGTTGGACTAATGCCTTTCAAATGAAAGTATTGTAATGACCAATTTTTTCCATATTTATTACATCGCTATTAATGGCTGTCAAATATTAAACAATTTAGCGCCTTCGCACTTCAATTTTGAAATTTATAAGGTTGGTATTTTCGACCATAGTAATTTTTCAAATAATAGGTTTAGAGTGGATTTTCAATATGAGGATGATCTGGTTAAAAATATTTAGAGAAAACTAGAAAGTTGTTAGCCTTGAACACAGTTATGGTTGTTACAAAAAAGAGAGGGCTGTAACACTTTTACATCCCCTTTTATAAAAGAAGCTCGGGTAGCCCATATTTTACGGCATGGAAATCCACATGGGGATCAAATAATTTTTTTCTTATTGAACAAGCGACCTGAACTAATTGAAGTGCCAAAATGTTACTTGTAGAGTGCAGATATTAAACAGTATTATGAAATATAACTTCCCAAGGGATGAACCACTTCCAAAATACTGCTACGTTTCACTCAAAATCACTACAAATTCTCTCAAAAATCATAACTAAAATCAATTTTTCGTTGCGAAATATAAAATGTAAACGCATCGGTGATGGATCAAAAAACAAGTGATAAGGGGGTCATAAAAACAAAGTCATCTGAATATTAAAAAAAAAGAAATTTGTAGATAATTTGCACTAAAGTTCGCCGAAATCATCAAAATTAAGAGGGATTTGGGTGAAATCATATAAAATCAAGGGTGCTTTCGTCAAAAGCATACGAATTTCGAGATATGGGTACGTTTTGCCCTTAATGGTTTACCCCTCGTGACTTCCCTTTTTGCCAAGAGAACCTCTATAAATCGACATGCAACGGTCGTGACGGAACGCCTTTGAACAGCCTATCCGGGGAACCCCACGGATTTTTTGTGATTGATAAATTAATAGAATGGACGCACACACTCAATTCCCCCAGAAAATCACTGTTCTGGAAGAAAGTGTCCAAAACTGCTTTAAAAAAATTGTCAATAAGTATAAGCTTATTTTATCGGATTTTAAATAATTTTTGACAAAATACATTTCCTCGCACCCTTTTTATTGCAGTGTTATTAAAATATGAATCATCATGCTATTTATGCCTGTATTCTTCTGCTTCATAAATCTTTTTATTTTGTCAAGATATTGCTGCTTTAAATAATGTTTTGTCTATTGTTTGCTGACTAAAGTTACCAATAATAGCTATTTGTGTATTAAGAGCAGAAAGTAGTATACAGAAAGTTTGTCGAGACTGCCAAAGGACCTTCTGCTCGAATTACACAAGACTTTTTCTACGATCACCAAAATAAAATAAAAATATTTAAATTAATTGTGGAGCACACAAAATTTCAATCACAATACACTAACTTTGACATCGACCTACTTGATTCATAAGTTGTTTGTATGTTGTGTTGCCTACCTATTTCTAGGTATGAGTATATACCTATTTAATTTTAGTACTTATAGCCCAAGAGCCCACTGCAAATTTTTGATAACGAAATGAAATATATCCCAAAAGCATGGAAAAACATTGTACTTTACCAAATGGCACCTGTGCCAATCCCAATCCTGAGCAAAGTGGCTTAAAAAAAATATATTATATTAAAAAAATCACATAAAGCATGGCAGCGCTAATTTTGTTTGCCCTTAAAGTTTTCCAGAAAATAACATTCAAATATATCTTGATATATATCGTTAAAGGGAAACATTTTCTTCCTCTTAACATCACACAAAAACATCTATCCACGATTAATAGGTAAAAATCATTAAAAATATGAATCAATTTTTGCTGATTTAAAAATTTATTTGTATGCCTATTTTTGTGATTCATTTTGACAGGTTGCCATAGAAACGACAAAAAACTACTATGATTATGGTTTAACACATTCGTCTCCGGCAACGCACGTCGTGCGTTGTTGTAAATTTTACCGTGTGCCACTAACGCGCCTGGCGCGGTCCCCACCTATTTTTTCATATTTGCCTAAATTGAGGGTATCATATTATGTAGATTATTTAAAATTTAATGGTACATAAAATAAGGTGTAATTCGTTTCAGGGAATACTTGGTTTCGTCTACAGCAATGCCGGTTGCGCGTTAATGTAAATGTTACCATAGGGTAAGAGGCATAGGCCAGTAACGCGCCTGGCGCGTTCTCAATTTATTTATTCCGATTTTCCTAAAACGAAAATAGGCAGTCAGTAGCATGTATGCAGGGTGTTTAATATAGTAATAGAGGGTGTTATTTAATGTTATGTATTTATTTTAACGAAAATTTTTTAGGCTAATTTTGAGTCAAAAAGTTTATATGTAATTTGAAATACTTTCAAAAAGTGAAACAGAATCAAGCAGGATTTCTTTCTGGAAAGACAACTGGATGTGAATTTAAAACTTTTCTCTGTCTTTTATTCCATATGGGAACAATGAAGCTAAACCCATAAGTGATTATTGGAGAACTAATCCGTTATTTAGTCTGCCAGTTTTTGCGAATTATATGAGTCGCAATAGATTTGTTTTAATTTTAAGTGCCTTGCATTTTTGCGTGAATACAGATGAAGCCGTGAGTAAGCTGTATAAAATATCCCCTTTGATTAATTTTTTCAACGATAGAATGGCAGCTATTTATTATCCGAAAATAGAGATAACAATTGACGAATCTTTAGTTTTGTGGCGAGGAAGACTTCAATTTAGACAGTATATAAAAGGTAAACGACACAAGTTTGGTATAAAATTATATATTTTAACAGAATATACTGGAATTATTCAAAAGTTAATCGTCTACGGTGGTTCACAAGATCGTACAATTGGAGAAAGAGATCACACACAAAAAGTCGTACTGAAATTAATGAAGAGTCATATGAACACTGGACATGCTTTGTATATAGATAACTTTTATAATAGTGTTCATTTGACTAAAAGATTACTCGAATCTAATACCTACGTCACAGGCACATTGCGACAAGACAAAAAAGGTAATCCGAAAAATTTGATGACAAAAAAAAATTAGAAAAAATCAAGTAGCAGGTATGTACAGTCCTGAAGGAATATGTATTACCAAATGGAAAGATAAACGAGAAATTTGCATGATATCTTCAGAATTTTGTGATCAGATGACTGCAACAAGATCTAGAAGAGGAATTGAATCCGAAAAACCTGAATTAATTGTTAAATACAATAAATATAAAGTTGGTATTGACTTAAGTGATCAAATGCTGAGTTACTACAGTTGTGAACATAAGTGTATACGGTGGTATAAAAAAATTGGAATACATATTTTCCAAATAATGTTAAATAATGCGCATTTCCTCTATAATAATGGAAACGAGAGAAAAATGTCATTGTACTATTTTCGACTGTCTGTTATTGAAAGCCTTTTAGGACCATCGCCACAATCTCCGCGTGTGAGAACACCATCAGTTGGACATTTACCTCAGTATTGTCCAAAAGGTCTTAACAACAAAACCAAAAGAAGACGTTGCAAATATTGTTGGGACACCAGCAAAATTCGAAAGGATTCTATTTTTTACTGTCCTCAATGTCCCCATGAACCCGGTTTGTGTTTGGAGAATTGTTTTAGACTATTCCATGAGAATTTGCATAATTAAAATTTGTTTAGTGTTACGTCCCCGTTGGATATAGTTTTAATTACTTGTATTTCATTCATTTGTTTCATTCATGTTCTATGTATTTCGAGTTTTTGTTCTTTTTTAAAAATAATTGTTACGTTTTGCAAATTTCAAACCACATGCCAGCGCCGCGTCAGGCGCGGTCATTTTTTATTTTTATTTTACACGAAAAAAAAAATTCATATACTGTTTATCTAGACACAGTTTAACATTTAACAATAAAATATATCACAATATTTTGTAAAAATCGTACTGGCATGTAGATATTATTTGAAATTTATACCGGAGACGAATGTGTTAAAATAATTGTCTAACAAGAGTTTATAATTATTATTGACTATCTCTGCAAATGGTTTATAGAATGCCATCCTTCTTCCTTTCACACATACACATGGTTTAAAAGGTAGGTAAAAATATTAATAATACAGGTTTAAAAGCTAGGTTCACAATGAATTAGGATTGTTATTTTCAGGGTAAACACAATTGTCGCTGTCATATCTTATGTGATTTTTTGAATATAAAATAATTTTTTTTAACCACTTTGCTCAGGATAGGGATTGGCACAGGTGCAATTTGGTAAAGTACAATGTTGTTACATGCCTTTGGAGCATATTTAATTTCGTTATCAGATGACGGTCGAAATTTGCAGTGGGCTCTCATACTATTATATGCCTGTAATTATTTATGATTTAATTATTTACGGAAAATCCTGTTGGATGATTTAAAATATTAGGAAGTCAATTAAAATATTTATTTAGGCTATAGTCTGTGTTAAAATAATTACTAGCTCTATTTTATCTATAAATAAAATTAGGCGTGCGTTAAAGTTACTTTGCGCTTAAGAACACCAATGATGTCAAATTATGACAGCTTGCAGAAAACATCAACTTTGCATTTACTTTTCAAGGCGCAAAAGCCTACTTTGGATAGTGATCGTAGAAAAACTATTTTGATTTACTCATGTGATCAAAATTTTATGTTGTGACATATTTTGGCCGTGAAAGGTTTAAATAATAATTGTAATCTTATTTTATCTGTATGTTAATTTGTTTTTATCTGTTGCAGCGGTCTGGTAAAACCAAATTGGCGAGAAGTAGTACTCAGTACGAATCTGGTAACAAGAATTTACCAAGAATTAAGCGGGACTTCTTCATTTAGTTGTAGTTTTAACTCATTCCATTTTTATGTACCTTTTAAAACAGTTGGTGCCTCATTATTAATACGAATTTTTAATAATACACGTATGTGTTGTGATTGAAGTATTTACAGAATAATTTATACAATGAATGCATGTGCCAAAATACAAAGTTTTATATAAGAGTATGTTTATTTATTCTAAATACATTTTTAATTCTAAAATTTACTTTTTTTACAAATCCTATAATCCTTACAACTAACAAAACTAAAGTTAAATATTTGTGACATAGTTTACAATCCTTTAGAGGCCCGACGTATCCAACAGTCAAGCTAATACGAAAATTACCTACCTTACCAAACCATGCAATGTTGCCAAATGGTAAGTAGAAGTTTTTGGCAGTTTGTAATAAATCCTGTCTGGTGGAAAATTACTAGTAGACATTTTGATATTATGTAAATTTTATTTTAGTTTTCTCCATATTGTAAATTCTTAAGTCATTAATTTTAACTTTTCGTTATTATATATTACTACAGTGCGAATCTAAAGTTCTGCATAAAATTGCTTTTGGCAAAAGATTTGTTTATTATCATTTTTAATGTGATTAAATTTAGAACTAAGGACATATATACAGATTAAGTAATATGAGATATGATCTCTTTTGATACGCAACTTTAACCACATTTTCCGTTCCCATTTAATTTCAATTTTTAATACTGATCGAGTCATTTTAAATAATATAATTAATTTGAAAATTGTTTTTCTACTTTTTGGTATATTTCCGTTATATATGATATCATTATCTACAATTATTGTGAAACAGCCCTACAATATATACTAGATGAATGGAAATGAAACAACAATAAGTTAATTACAGGCGCTCTTTTTTTAGATTTACAACGAGCGTTTGAAGAAGTCAATCAGTTGTTACTTATTCGAAAATTGGCATGTTTTGCAATAGTGGGAGATACTCTATGTTGGTAATAAAATAGAAAACAAAAATTAAACTACATTCTTTCCGATTCTGCGAAAAATTATTTTCAATCAATGATTGATGTTTCCATTCATTGAAAATAAACTTTAAAAAACCTAAATTTACATAGGGAAATTAGTGAAAAGAAATAAGCATCGGTGCTGGAAATGATGCTATTGAAGTAGTAAAAAAATTAATATTTGGGAGTCATAGTAGATAGTATCTTTTACTATAAAGAACACTCTAATTACATTATTAAATCAATATCTTTTAAAATTTATATTTAAACATTTTTCGAATATCTTTGAGAAATTGTTTATTAGTGAAATTGGCCGATAATTTGTCATTTCGTCTCTCCTTTTAGATTTATAAATTAGTATGATACAACTCTCTTTAAACTGAATTAATATTTATCCCGGAGAGGCATTATTTTTAAGACCTGCAATTAGTTCTTCAACTTCCAAATGTTCTGTTGGCTCTAGGAATATTTATTGACTTGTTGTTCCATTTGTCTGATATTTTATTAGTTAGGTTAAGGTTTTTGATTTTATTTGATATTATTTCACCTATTTCTATAAAAAAATTATTGAAATAATTTGCCATTTGTTTTTGATCATCTATAATATTCCCTTCTATTTGAATTTTGTGTACGATGTTTTTTTTGAGGCATATTATTTGTTACTTCATTTATTATTTGCCAAGTTTTTTTATAGTTTTGACTGACTTAGTTTAGTTTATTTATATAATAATTATTTTTTGTTGATTTTATTAATCTATTTAAAAAGTTTCTATACCTATTGTATTCTTCTTAGTAAAAATATTATTTTTAATATTTAAAACTTTCTTTTTTAATAAATCCCATTTTCTAATTGATGTTAGTAGTCCTGCGGTCATTCGCGGTTTTATTTTTATGTTTTTATTATTAAATCTTCTAACGAATGTAGCATCTTCAAGAATTTTATTGAATTTTTCATAAAGTAAGTTAGTCGCTTTTTGTGGATCTTGACACTCATACAACTAATCCCAATTTACGATTTTCATTTTATCCTTAACTAGTGTTTCATTTATTTTAATAATTTCTGTATAACGAGTTTTTTTAGCAGGACAGCTACTATATTATCAAATCTAATATTATATAGCTGTAATAAAGTAAACCTTTGCAAACTATAGGCTTTATTTAACGAAACGTTTGCCAAAGACAAAGTGCCAAAGTGGCAGATACTGACAAATATACAATGTGATAATAAAAACATACAAACTAACTAGATAAAATATACGACAATAGCAAAGGATAGTGATGTCAGAATATTGTGTAAAACTAAAGATTTAAAATGTACTTTAATATTTATTACCGTACTTCTGTATGTTGAAATATGATCAACAGTAGTTGAAGAACCCCCTTGTCCTCTTGTGGGTACATTTATTTGAGGAAGAAACCCGTTTTTACTTAGCATATTCATATAGGTTATTGATTCTACAGTTGTATTATTTTTAGGGTTAATATCAATGTTTATATCCCCAAACACTATTGAAATGTCATTTTTAACTAAAGTTGTAAGATAATTATCAAGATCGTTTATGAATAGTTTTTCATTTGTTGAATTAGGTCTATAGATTCCTATAATATTTATTTAGTTTTGTTAAACTCTAATTTACATTCTAGCATATTCACTTCAGATAAAGATACGTTTTTTACGTCTGCGGCAAATTTATTTTTAATGTAAATCACCACCCCATCACATTTATTATATGATGCTTCATTATAATAAACCGAAAAATTCTTAATTTTAAAACAAGAAAGATCTACTGTCCACGTTTCAATTAGTACTATTATTGCAATATTATTTTTTTCATTTAGTTTCTCAAGTATTACACAAAATTCATCAAAATTTGCCCTTAAACTCCTAATGTTAAAATGCAATATGGTAAAATTATTAGACTCATCGTTTATATTTAAACTGTTAAAAATTATGCGAATCCTATACATTAGTACCCTAAAGAAAAAAATCTGATGTGTCCAACACATGACTTTCCCATCTAGTTATTATTAGGCTTTTTCCGGTTTGTGCAACCTATTGCAGCACCTCTAAAAATGTTTAGAGGATAAACTAAATATATACATTTTCCACATACATCTAACTCGAAACATTTTTCTATAGATATTCACAGGGCCGACTAGAGGGGGGGGGATGCCGGGACTAATTCCCGGGGCCCGGACTCAAATGGGGGCCCGGCAGCGATATAAGCGGGGCCCGGCAACTGTTTTTTTTTTGTTTTGTATGAGAAATGTGACACAATTCAAGTAGAGGCGGAAAAGTTTTTGCTTAAGGACCTTTTAGAAAATTCAATTCAAGTAGAAGAGGAAAAGTTTTTGTTTGAAGAGCTTGTCACGGGGCCCGATCTAGAGAGTTGTCCTGGGGCCCGGCCTGGCTCTCGGCGGCCCTGGATGTTCATTGAAAACGAAAATACTGAAAAATTTAAATTTAACACTTTTCCTCCATTACGGTCCATTTTAGAAAAATCATGTAAAAACAAAAATTATAGAGATCGATATCGCAAACAACTTTTAGTTTAACAATATTTTTTTAAATTCTCGAATACGGACCATTTCAGGAAAATTTGACGTAAAACAAAAATTATGGATAATAATATTCGAATTAACTTTTATTTGAACAATTTTTTTCTCCAAACATAAATAACAGATATATTTCATAAAATATAAAAACGGCCCAGAGCTGTTTAAAATCATTTTAAAAACAATTTAAATTAAAGATCATAAATCGTTTACATTTAAACAAATGATTTAAATCAAAGATCGTTTTTTTAAAAAGAAAGATTTAAATCAAAAATCTTTTTTACAATTTAAATCATTTTAGGAAAGAATTAAATCTTTTCGAAAGATTTAAATCTTTTCGAAAGATTTAAATCTTTTCGAAATATCTAAATCTTTTTAAATGAAATAAATATTTTTAAAAGTTTTAAATCTTTTTATAGAGTTGGGTAACTCTTTAAAAATGCTTTCGGTAGGCCTATGAGCCACAAAACCAAAGATAATGAATACTTAAGTAATGTGATTTTCTCATAAATAAAACACAACATTTATTTTTTATCGTTATTAGCCCAATGCAATTCTTACGGAAATATTAATTTTAAATAATAAATATCCGATCGAGATAAAATTTTTAAGGATTTATGCAGCATTGATATCTATAGTTATGAAAATTGTTATTTAAAAATGTCATATCGATTGGTAAATAGGAATTTTTCAACTCTTTAAAAGATACTTTTGGTATGCCTATGATGCCACAAAAGAATGGAGACCTAGTTTTTAAGAAAAGTGATTTTTTTGTGAAAAATCACTCAAATCCGTCCACTCTTCCTTGAGTTAACGTGCTTCATGTCATAGATACATAAACATCCACATAGATACACATACATCAGATTTAAAAATATGTTTTTTTTTGTACTTAGGAGACTTTCTCGGAATTCCAAGATTCTCCCGGAAAAATGCATTTCATTTTCAAATTCTCCCGGCTTCAGGAATGTACCTAAAATCTCCCGGATCTTTAAACTATGAATAATGAAATTGAGTGGGTTGAATTAAAAGAGTTCTTCTCTCAACATGTCTCTAAATGCATGAGGATAAACTGTATGATAATAATTAAAATAGAAGTACGTGAAGTTATTGCGAGCAAATAAATAACCAAACTAGGCGGGTTAGGGTTAATTTTTTTAAAAAATGAAAAAATGTTGATGAATCAGGCAAAATGAAAAAATGTGGATGAATCAGGCAAAATAAAAAAAATAATTAATTCGCTCTACCTATGCCGAGCGGGTTTATTTAACTGGTCAAAAAGTCATAATCGTCTTAATGCAACTCATGTCAAATCTGAAATAAAAGTGTGCATAAATTTAAAATATATATGTAAAGAGTTTTATGATTATATCGATAATGAAAAAGTATTTCCAACTGCTTACGGTGTAAAAAATACAACTTTACAAAAAAAATATCGGGTCAAAAATATTGTTTTAAAAAGATTTAAATCGTTTTAAAAAGATTTAAATCTAATTTTAAATAAAAAATCAAAGATACTTTTCAGAAAGATTTAAATCATAAATCAAAATCATTTTTTTAAAAAAGATTTAAAATCAAAGTATTTAAATCAAAAAATGTATTTAAATCAAAAAATGTATTTAAATCAAAAAATGTATTTAAATCAAAAAATTATTTAAATCTCACTGATAGGTG